ATATAAATACTGTCACCAAAAAAATAAAGTGGGTTCCAAATCCAAGCAATTAGATAGTGCGGTAAATTGTCTGCAGTGGTCCTTTAGAATCAATACTCATCATCTGAAGGCTCCAGTGGCCAACTATGTGTTACTTTGATACGGCTTATCGAATTAGTTATAAAAAATAATAATAACACTTTTTCAAAATTTTATAAATAATTTATGGTCCGCATCACAGTTCACTTTTTATTAAATTATTAGCATCCGGCTAAAACTTCGTGAATGGCTTCAACTTCTCGTGACTCACAACTTTTTCATCTGTTATATTTCTCAGAAATTAGGTGTTTTCTCAATAAATTAATTAATCTAAGATAATTTGAAGGTTGCCTACAAAAAATATTGGGCTGTTTGGCCTATATAACCTTGTTATTTTGACATGTTGGGAATGGAGGTCACGCGAAACGGTCTGATAATTTTGTAGGCCAGCTTTTTTCTCCATCTGAAAGCTGAAGTGGCCAACTATGTGTTATTTAGATACATTTTATCGAATTAGTTATAAAAAAAAAATAATAGTTTTTCTAAATTACAAAAAAAAATTATATTCCGCAGTACAGATCCATTTTAATCAAATCATTAACATCCGCCTAAAATTTCGTGGGTGGTATTATCTTATCGTAGCATAAAACTTGTTTATCTGCGAAAATTATCAGAAATGGAGCGTTTTCTCATTAAGTTAATTAATTTAATGAGATGCTAAAACTTATAAATGCACTTTCCACTTGAATCGTAAAATAACTTTATCACCAAATCGAAAACAAAGATGGACTACAAAAATATTGGGACGAGCGGCCTATATAATGTTGAAGAAGAGGTCATGCCGAACGGCCTAATATTTTTGTAGGCCACCTTTCTTCTTAATTTTGTGACCAAATGATCTTACGAATCAAGTGGTAAGCATATGTTTTTTAGTAACTAATTAAATAGGAAACGTTTGCTGGCTTCAAAGTTTTCATAAATAAAAAATCATAAGTTACGATGAGATATTCACAAAGTTTTGAGCAAATGTTATTAGTTTGATACAAAAAAAAAAAATAGTCTGTACCAAGGACTAAAAGCAGTTGTATATAAATCTTGCAAAAATATCGGGTATTTGATAATTTTTTTCAAAACATGTATAGCGATAAATAATTCCAATGAAAAAGAAAGATCATATTTACAATTATGTTTAAATGAAGATAATAAAAAAGAAATGAGAAAATCCAAAAATTTCTAGTTTTCCTTCGTAAAATTCTTAAAGCTCCTTACTTTGTCTCAAATAAAATAATCCATAAAGACCTTAATGTTCCATATGATTTGGCCCAATACCGATACATATCCTTCCATAAAAAACTTCATAACCATCCGAATCTTCTCGTTTCTAACCTTGCTTCCTCTTCGATTCCTGATAAACCTACAAAGCGCCTAAAAAGAAAATGCGCTCGTGATCTCCTTATTTAGACACATTATTAGAGTGCTATGAGTGGCTAGTTTCTCAACAGGCGTTTTCATGCGATTATATTCATGTGTGCACAATTACTTGATGTATTTATATTGTAATACAGTTGTAAACACCATGAATAAAAAAAAACAAAAATCATTCTGTCTACTGGAAGGCTCATATATTTCATTACCATCCAGCGAAAAGAACCCTTTTTATCAAATTATTAACATCCACCTGAAATTTCGTAAATAGTTTCGTCTCATCGTAACCTATAAATATTTTATTTTCAAAAACTCAATCATAACCTACAAATATTTTATTTAAAAAAAAAAGATGGTCTTAAAATATCGTTTAGCGTGACCTATACTCCCCAAATTTTCAAAATAACGAGGTTACATCGGCCAAACGGTCTAATATTTTTGTAGGCCACATTTTCTATCGATTTTGTGATCAAATTATACTACGATCCAAGTGAAAAGCGAATGTGTATTTACGAGGTTTTAGTACCTAGTTAAATAGACAAGTTTTGCTGACTTTCAGATTGAAAGCGCCCCATTTCCAAGAGTTTTTGAAAATAAAATAGTTGTAGGTTATGATGAGATAAAGCTATTTACTAAGTTTCAGGCAGATGTTAATAATTTTCTAAAAAGGAGTCTTTACCACGGACTATTATTGTGAGATGTATCGTAAAAAAATAAAATATCGAGTTATTCATTATTAATTTATATTTTTTATAATTGACTTTTTCTTTCTTAGCGTATATTTAGACTGAGGTAATCAGGAGTGAATTCATAGCCAGCGATAATAATAAAGCAATTTTTTATCGTCATTACAAACGTGACGGTGAATATATCTATGAAATGATGAAATTAATGAATATAATGAATACTCCCTCAATTAAATAAACAATACCTTCTTATCTGCTCGAAATTACTCTCAGATATATTAAAAAAGGTCATTCATTTTAATGATCTCCATTTTTAAGTATTCATGTGATATAGACCAGATAAGTCTTAATTGTGAAAAGTTCGTAATGAGAGATATAATTTTTATTACAGTCTCTCATAAATGTATTTTTTTTTTTGTAATATCAGTACTTTATGTATTGTTTGTTTTTAATAATGCAATTATAAAATAAATGAAGATAGACAGTTATTACAGGTATTATTGCATAGATAGTCTTGTAATTTTGTGTAAAACTAAAGTACCACCTATATATAATAGTGCTTTTATTGATTGCGACAAATATTATAATCTTAAGAATATATATAGTTATATTGAGTTACCTGAAATATACCATGGACTCATTGGCAGGGGGAAAGATGCCCCCATTTTATCTTGGAAAGCATTTAAAACAAATTAATAGTAAATATAATAGTTCTTTAAAATCGATATTAAAATTTCAACAATCTAAAATTAAATGCGAAACGCCTGTATTTAAGTTGTTATTTTTATTCATTTAAGCCTCTATTGTTTATTTATATATATATATTTATTGTACATATGTTGTGAATGAACTCCAGTATCTCCATCATGAATGTCCTTCGTTGTAACAAAATTTAATATAATTCAATAAAAAAAATACCAAATAAAGATTTAATTCGCATATTTTTAACTAATTATTCAATTTCTAATAACCATGCTCTCCCCTTTTTGGATATTCTCTAGAGATATAAAATCTCTATACTAGTAGTTAGATATATTGCTTATCTAATGTTTTTTAAGTTGTTTACGTTATTTTTGTTCATACTTTGTATTATTTTATTCGATTTCGTATGTAATTTATAGATGTAAAACTATATTTCATAGCTTAATAGATTCAGTATCTTCTTTTTTTGTTATCTTACTTTATTGCTCTCTTTTAGTAGCAGATTGAGGATTTAATTTTAGGGCCGTTTATATTTTATTTTATTTTTTTATAACGGTAGCTATTCTGAAAGAAAGTAAATAAAATGATGTTTAAGTGGTATTTGAAGGCCTGTTTAAAAAAAAATAAAAACGTAATTACAGGAACAACAATACTTCTAGGCATCATTTTTTTACCCTTTTTTTTCTTCCCATGTACTTTTATTTAGTAGCTGGATTATATTTATACACGCTATAATTTAATAAGGGTACATATAATGGTTGTTTGTTTATGAGTTTAGTCAATCGCAGAAACAAATATGGGCTAATGAAAAAAAAGAAATTGAATTTTCCATTTTTGCGAAGAAGGGAACTTCAGTTCCAAATCCCCTTTTCCATCCTTTCACCTTGTAGATCTGCCAAAGTAACAATAATTTCACAACAGAGGGATTTTAGTTTTACATAGCATTAAATAATAATAAAAGTTATAAATTTAGCATACCACTACAGGTACTGGCAAAGAAAGAAAGGGAAGTAAATTTTATTCTGAGACCTTCAGTCCCAAGAGCTATTGTTTCGTTTGGAAAAAACGAAACGAAAAACAGATCAAACGGCGACTCGACTAGTGGCAAACGGGCGAACGAAAGAAAAACAACTGTTGTTATCCGTTTGGAAAAACGGTTCGTTCGTTTGAGATCAAGAAGTGTTCTTTTCAAACGTTCGGTGTTTCAAATCTCTCACCCCTAATGGAGATTTGCGTAAGGAAGGTATGTAGGGAATTTCAAGACAAGGTAGCACGCATGAGAAAGGATTTTTTTACAAGGAAACAATTCTTTGAGAGGCAATAAACAGGTTTGTGGACTGAGATCTCGTGTTGAACGGATGGAACGAAGACAAAGGAGTAAACAGATCAAGAAGGCAAGCGAGTTTTTCGGTTGCATAGGTTTGGAAAAGGAAACCACCTAGAAGTTATTGCCATTGGAGGACCGGAAAGAGTCACTTCGATTCGGCATACAACCGGAGACATGGTCTAAGGGTTCCAACGATGTATCTCATTATGCAATACATCAGTATAATATTGATATTATACGGGCAGTATGATACTGATATTGAAGGAGAAACTTGTTTGGCAAGTGTATCTTTCGGTTCTTTTTCCCTACTCCAAATGACGAGCGAGACAGAGAGTGAGGGTATAAAGATTCATCTTAAGGTTCTTGAGTAAAATAGATATTACCTTACCCAGGTAAGAATCCAACTCTCACAGATCCAAATCGAGCAATATGGGAATACCGTTTCTAGGTACTCACCCCCCATGGACTTAAATATACTCATTAACTCAAGGAGCTTGTATATAATACAAATAAATTCAATTTTAGAACCAATAGGACTTAGAAGAGGGTTACATATGATTTTTATATACCAATATGAAGATTTGCTCGACACTTGACTACCTGTCATTGGTGGAATATGTATTTAAATAATTAATAAATAAATAAATATATATCGGGATCATCATCATCTTTATCGGGAATAAAAATGATCAAATATTAATTTATTTAATGGGTATTATAATAATGATGTAATAATACATGGCGAACCAGAAGGTTTGATGTTATTAGCCATAATTATTCACTGCTCTAACCATCAAATGGATATTATACTTATAACACTTAATGAAAATGCAAGAACTTACGAGGTATCCGTCGTATGTCCATGAACCGAACTTCATGAAGCATGTCTGCTCATCAAATGGGAAGTACTCCACGTTGATCTCGCAGAAGGACTTGTAGATGGCCGGAGGTTTCCAGACGACTTTTCCAGTATGGTGGAGGATAGCTTTCGTCATTATCGTCACCTCGTAGTTACCATCAGCGCTGTTGAGAAAAATAATAAAATAAACTCATCATCATTAAATAATAAATTAAAAATAAGTCTATGCCATTTTCATGTTTATACTAATTATACTTTAGGTTTTATGTGAAAATATGGAAAAGCTATTGTAAATCTCATAAAAATAATAATAATAGACAAAATATAGAGCAAATAAATACTCCATTCGAACATTTCCCCCTAGATCTCGTCCTTCCGACCTCTATCCTCTTCCCCACCGAACAACTGCGTTTGACAAATCCTTTGTAATTCAAGCCGCCTCCCTCTGGAATTCTCTCTCTCCTGATATTCGACACGCACATTCTGTTTTCTCTTTCAAAATTTTCCTCTTCAAACATATAATTCCTTCCTTCCTCAATCCAACTAATTCGAAATGAACTTAAGAGAAATATTTAAGAACCCCCAGTGACTATTTAATTTTACTTAAGTTATTTTAATATAGTTTCCTATGTTAGTTTTATATTTATGCATGCTTTTTTTTTCATACTTTCTATTTATTTCTGTATTTTTATTTTTAATTAGCTATTATTGTAAATATTTAATTTACGTATGGCCACACTGGCATTCATCCTGTATTTATAATTTATTCTAAAGGACAACAGTCTCAGAATAATAAAAAATATTTTCATTTCATTCTCAATAATATTTTATTACATTTGAAATTTCTTCTCCCCAGTGCAGAAAGCCAAATAGTTAAGGGCGACTTATTACACAAGAGCGTTGAGCAATTTGCAAATGTATATTAATTTTCCATGAGAACATTGGAATGGAGATTTAGCTAGACAAACCAAGCAACATAGTCGTCGGATAACTTGCACAATGATATGATTGGTTTTAATAATACCCAATTTCAGTTACAAATTACGCTAAATATTTTAAACACAGTTCATTAGAATATTATTGCTTGAGAAAGCTAAAAGCTGTTTATCTGAGAGTGTCAATTTATGAGGTTTTTATAGATAATTATTATGTACGCCAAGTCTTCAGGCACATTCTAAATTTCATTTTGACCCTGAAGTAATGCTGGATTTTTTAGGTAATAATTTAATATAGGTAAACTATAGGCAAAAAATAAATACGCGCCACGTACGTGGTCCATTTTCTTTTTCTTTTTTTCTTCCAATATTAAACGTTTATATTCATTATATTAATTTCAGCCTTGAAGACAAAGAAGGTCGTGGAAGGACATCCTCTCTTGATGACGATGTACTGTGGGCTTTGGTGGAAGAAAACCCCAGAATAACTGCTCGAGAACTTTCAGGGAATGTTAACTTTAGCAAATCGACCATCGATGACCACCTCAAGGCGATTGGAAAGATAAAAAAGCTTGAAAGTTGGGTTAAACACAGATTAAACAACAGCGTTATGAAGTTTATGCTACACTTCTTTGCCGAAACAAAAACGACCCTTTTATATTCAGAATTGTGATGAAAAGTGGATAATTTACGATAAAAGTATACGTTCTGGACAAAGGTTCTATCAAGGATAAACAGCAGAACATTTTCCAAAGCCCCCAACTCATCAAAAAAAAAGTTGATGGTTAATGGAGTAAGTTAATTTGGTTTGGTGCAATGCAGCTTTTTAAATTCTGAAGAAACCATCAATGCCGAATCGTATTGTAACCAATTTTTTTTATTTTTTTTTTATTTTTTTTATTGAGAAATAATACATTTTGCCACTTTTAAGGCCACTGAGTACTAAAGCTGAGTGAGGCCCATTCATGCTATATATACAATAAAATAAAAAAAATAGTAAATAAAAAATAAAAACATTAAATAGAAAATAAAAATATGTAACCAAATTAATGCAATGTATCTGAAATTGGCAATAATGAAGCCATCTTTGGCCAATCGGAAGGGGCCCATTTTGTTGCATGACAACGCCCGATATATGCCTCATGTGTGACGTAACAAAATTTGTTGGAGCTTCCATATAAAACCCTCCCACATCCATTCTACTCTCCAGACCTTTTGCCTACGGATTATATTTTTTTAAAAAATCTGGACCACTAGTCGTTAACAATTTAATAGATAAAGGGAATTAGGAAATACGTTTTTGGAGTTCAATTCTAAAAATGGGAAATTCTATTCCGAGGGAATGGAAAAGTTGCCAACACGTAGGCAGGAATGTATTGATAGTAGTAGGGACTATTTTTATTAAATAAAATAGTTGTAAATCATTCTGTTTAAACCAAAACCCTGCATTATTTTCCATACAACCCAATATTACGATTTGAAGTACAAGAACTATTAGAGGATTTTCCTTTAGTAGTCCCTGTATATGTATGTGTATAAATTTCAACTCACTTATTGTATAGTACGATGTCAGGTAACCAGATGTGTTCAGACGGGACATGCAAGGTATCAACTCCACCATAGTCCTCTGGGTTCCATTTAAGCTTGTAGTCGTTCCACTCCTGAAACAAAAGGAAATAAAAAAAAAGATTACTAAGGATAAGTAACTAACAGACACAATTTAAAATATAAATCCGAAAATAATTGATAAGGAGATATGATCAACATATTTATTCCAAGTAAGCCAAAATACGTAACTAATACGAAAACATAACGCCAAAAAGAAAATAATCCGTCAAAGTCAAGAAGAACCCACACAAAAAAGTTCTTGACTTATCACTCTCTCACTCGCTCTTAATCTATAAAAATCAGCGCACTTAAGTTTCATTCAATCCCTGGCCATTTGATTCGAAATTATAACTATGACGAAAATCACCAAAATAAAAAGTCAGTAAGTGGAATGGAGGAAGTGAAACGCACAGAAAAGGAAGACTGTGAAAGAGAAGATATAAAAGAAGGAAAGATGAAGTACACAGGCTGGAAAGAAAACCAATGAAAGCTTCCAAAAAGGCATTGATAAATGACAAGCTGTTGGTAGCAATTGCAGCTCCGCTTCGAGCATCTACTTTTTATTTTATTTTTTACAGTTATACCTCCGCTGTTAAACTGCTTTTATTCAACTGAATGGGATAATAATCCTGATAATATTAAAAAAAGAATACAAAATTATAAAATGAATAAAATACCTGTAACTCTAAAACCCATTGAGGGTCTTGGTACTTCGTAAGAAAGGACTGTTTCAAGACAAAACGGTTGTTCAAGGAAGCAATTTTGCCGAGATCACGTTTAATGTTCAGGTTTTCCATAATTAGTTATTTAATTAATAGTGTACACTTTACAGTGGCTGGGTGAGCCCCAGAAGGACTTCCTGACCCCAGGGTCTATACCCGGCTGACGTTTCAGACTGCCTCCCAATTTATTTACAATATTATTTGTTTTTGTTTTTTTAATTAGGTTTTATATTAGTGTTTCCTCCTGTTAAATTAATAAATAATGGTGAGTTTATAATTTAGTATAACCTTTAGTCTGGAATTTCGTGCACCAAAACATGACCGATTATTACTTACATATTTGTAAATTATAAATGTAATTTAAATAATCTTATTATTATACTTTGAATACTCCTCGATTCCTGATATTCCTTCTAGGCACGTTATAATATTTCCTAAATAATTTGATAACGTACTGATAATATTTCCTAGGTACGTTCCTCTACCAAATCATCAACAACCATCGTCCTTCTTACGCATACAACCTTCTCCAGTTCAAATCCTCAGTCCATTCCCTGTCCACAAGATCTCGACCTTCTAACCTTTACATGCCTTCTCACAGATTTCCCTCATTACAAAACTCCTTCATTGCTCACTCTGTCAATTTCTTTAATTCCCTCCCTATCAAAATTCAACATTCCCCATCCATATCCACATTCAAAACCCTCCTATTCCAATTCCTATCCCAAAAACAGATAGTTGCTAACCATTTGACAACATACATTATTTCATGCCATCCATTGTCAAATATCAATGCTAAATGATAATGTATTTTGTATTTATATATTAATGAGGCACTTTATATTGTCAGATTCAGCTTTCTGTTTTCTCAACAGAAACACAAAGCTTATTTTAATAAAGAATTTAATATATTTTTATTTTTTAATTCTTTATTGTTTTCTTAAAAGTGTATACTGGTCTATCAGTGCAAATATCTTTAAGTGTCTTGTTATGGTGTTAATTGTTTTGTATATAGTTTCGTTTGTTTTGTATATTGAATGTTTACTTTGTATTTTCTTTACATTATTTCTTTTATTCGATTGATTTTATTTTGGCCAGATGTAATCTTTTAATTTTGTTATTCTCAAAAGACTCTGTCCCAGAATAAAGTTATTTTCAATCTATCTATCTATCTAGGTGTCTGACAAGAACCTTCGGGATCTCCTTACATACGAGAAGATCTTCTCCAAAAATAATAAAATAAAAACTATATTTACATTTAAATACAAATATATGATATATGTAACACATATTAATCAATCTAAATTTAATTATTTTCCATAACTGGAATCAAAACTAGGACAATATAAATTATTGCTTGGATAGGTTTTTAAGCTCAATACATATTTTAATTTAATTTTATATTTTTTAATATTTAATAATTCATTGTATAATTATTGGTTTTTCTATCTTCCAGGAATGTTAACCTTCTGCCTGATTACGGCAGGTCATCTCTAACCTCAATTTAAATTCTGTTCATCGCTGATTGAATCCATTGATGAATTGTGCTAGAGTTGGTTTTAGAATCTTGCATAATATATTTGGTTCGTTGAAGTGAGGTAGTGAAATTTAGGTGATCTTATTTTTTACTTTCCTACCTATACTAGGTAAAATCGGGTCAAATTTTCGATATGCGGTTATCAACGGATCTATACGTTTAGAGCCCCGTCTACAAAACTATATAAAAATCGTTCATTTTGGACAACAGCTATTCAATTTCCAATGTAAGATTACGGGTTCATATCCTGGTGTCAGAAAAGGGGTGAATGAGAGAAAAAAGATGACTAATTTAAAGTAAGAGAATCTATTGCCCGCATCACACAAGCTTTACTATTTCCTCTACTTTTAACAGAAATTATTGTTTGACAATACTAAGCTGTGGCAAAAAGTTTTTGATCAGCAATACTAGAGGGTATTGAAATTTTTACACTGATCTACCTTAAGCCGGCTTAAACATTGCTTTAGTTTATCAAATAAATCGTACTCAAATCTTTTCTATTATCAATTTTCAGGAAAATAAATCTAGTTCAATTTTTTTTTTTTTGTTTCTTCATGAACATATGTTAAGATATGAAAACTTTTCTGAAATAGGTAGGAAAGTCGTGTGAGTGGACACAGCAGATTTTTTCTATCACGATGAATCACCCATTATTTTAGTCCTATGTTGAATAAATCAGCGTTTTAATAAACACCGAACTAACTGTTATATCATTATAAACATATGTAAATAAGAATACAGTTCGTTTTCCTTATGCAGTCTCTGTTTTCCTCAAGAATCTCAACACAAGACGGGTTAATTCCAGTACGATGACCTCGGCGATGATTGAAGGGAAATTATATTTAATATTTTTTTTATTTCCCGACTAAATGGGCGTTTAAAAAGAGCGAATTAGCCGGAATCATGTGAAAAAAAAATTCTACCTAACATTACACTTTATCTCTCTTCAAGGAAGTAAATACAGCTATTCATATACCACTTAATACGTCACTTACAAGGCCTATAAGAAAATTGGGAGGCATTTAATGCTCTGAGCAGGCACAAAAAATATATGTATTACACCAGAACACATGAGAGCAAGGACCTAAAGGGCGAACAAAAAAAAAAAAAAGGGATATGCCTGCAAGCGTTTAACCCAAAGAAATGGAAATAAGGGTCAAAGGGTTTAGGATTCATGAGATATCCCGAATAATATAAACCTAGTCATATGAAAAAAAAGTAATATGAAAAATTGACAATTTTTATGGTAAGAATAATTTTTTAAATTAAAATCCATGTATTATATTCAAGTTATAGATTGTTTTACATGCCATGGCTTAACATTAACATTATCTTAAATCATAAACATTTAATTATTATAGAACATTTATTTTGAAAGAGTGTACATAAAAATGAGTAGAGAATAAATTTTATGATACTTAAACAATTATTTAAAAAAGTAATTAAACCGTTAGGAAATAATGCCAATCAATTTATATCATTGCCTGTAGTAAAATAATACATAAAGTTGTGGGAAATAAACAATATATCCTATACAGGACTCCTTAACAATTTTTTTATTTCTCTACCATCTTATTTTAAGGCGAAGTAATAATAATAATAATAATCATAAGTGCAGAACTGATTGATGTCGGGATACCCAATGATAATAATATAAACTCCGTGACTTGCTGGAATTAAGCGGAAGGTTAACGCTTCTCGAAGGTACTAATCATATAATTATACAATGAATTATTAAATATTAAAAAATATAAAATTAAATTAAAATATGTGTTGACCTTGAAAACTTATCTAATCAATAATTTGTATGGTCCAAGGTTCGATTCCAGTTATGGAACATAATTATTTACATAATTAAATTTAGATTGATTAGCACATGTTACATGTATCATATATTTGTATTTAAATCTATAAAGTTTTTATTTTATTATTGTTTTTTATATTAATTATATAATAATTTGTATTTACATTATTATTATTTTTTTTTTTGTATGTAAGAAGATCTTCTTGTATGTAAAGAGACCCCGAAGTCATCTCCTTTTCAGACACCTAGAAGGATTATCAGGAATCGAGGAGCTTTTAGAGTATAATAATAAATAATAATGATAAGTTTATTTAAATGCCATGTATAATTTACAAATATGTACGTAATCATGTTTTGGTGCACGAAATAAAGGTAATACTAAAATTATAAACTCACCATTATTTATTTATTTATTTGACACAAGGAAATACTAATAGAAAAACTACTTTAAAAAAATAATAATAACGATAATAATAAAATATAAAATCCTAAGATCCTGAAGTCATCTTCTTTTCAGACACCTAGAAGGATTATCAGGAATCAATGAGTATTCCGAGTATAATAATAATAAGTTTATTTAAATGACATTTATAATTTACAAATATGTACGTAATAATCGGTCATGTCTTGTTGCACGAAATTCCGCACTAAAGGTAAAATTATAAAATTATAAACTCACTATTATTTATTTATTTAATAGAAGGAAACACTAATAGAAAACCTACTTAAAAAATAATGTAAATAAAAATTAATTTATAATTAAAATAAACAATAATAATAAAATAAAAACTATGTATACATTTAAATACAAATATATGGTATATATTACATACGTTAATCAATCTAAATTTAGAGTCGACCTACAGATAATTGAACAGAATAAATAATTATCTGTCATAGCCAGTAGTGTTGCACAAATGCGAGACTGAGACGAGTCTTGGTCTTGCGAACTCAGTCTTGGTCATGGTCTTGGTCTTGCGCAAGAGTCTTGCAGTTATTTATTAGCTTATTAATATAGAGATAATACTGTAATTTTTTAGATAGGAGAAACCTAACTAAGCCCCAATGAAGAATTAGAGAAGATAAATGCAAAATTATATGGGCTATACCAATTATTAACATACAATAACTAAGATTGTCAAGTATTAGCAACTATTTTGCCTTAATTTTTATTTTAAAAATCGACAATTTTTTTACAAGTCCTGGTCTTGGTCTTGCAACAGTTAGGCGGCCTTGGTCTTGGTCTTGCAAAGTGCAAGACCAAGACAGATTTTGGGCAACACTAATAGCCAGACTCGAACCAGGTACGTGTAGAATATAGATATACAGTGAACATAGATACACCCATTGATCTGTTCCTCTACTTATGTAAAGTATACAATGTACAAAATTTCTTCATAAGATTAATTCTTAAACATTATAGAGTTAGATTTTTATTTTCAGTTTCTTTTTCTAGAGTTTCCCCGTTATCGATACCGTATTATTTATCAATATTTTATTTCTGTATTACGATATAAATCGTAACTTTTAAAAGTGAAATTTATTCAGAAGAAAAAATTGAGTGAAGCAATCTCTGCTCAGGATCCCCTGACCGATATTCCGGGCAAATCCTTTGAAAGATTTTTCTCAGGCCTATTCTTCTAGAGCGATTGGCAACGCCCCGTCACAAAAGACCTAGGCACACTCTACAGGCCCTATACAAATTAAATTTTCTTTGTATACTTCTTTAGTTATTATTTCTAACCCGGTTCCTAAATATGACGTAACTCTTCGGGTAATTCCTGTTGAAAAACTAAAATCCGTAAAAATAATTTTGTTCGATAATTTCGATTTTTCTTTCGTTATCATAATAGTATTCGAAAGAGGAATAAAAAACAATTTTAGTTTTTAAAATGTGTTATTATTATTATTATTATTATTATTAAAGGCGTTTACTTTATTTTTAATTTATTGATTGAGAATTCCGATACCCACCATCTGCATTTTGAGCTTTGTATAAAGTCCATTCAAGGTAACACAAGTCCTATTTTCATTTTTATTCTGTTTCTATGGATACCCGATTATGAATAAAACTAACTTATTCATATATTATTACTATAACTTAATAAATGAATGTAATAATAAAACTATTATTAATTGAACAGAAAGGGACCAATTCTCAATGCATATATTTTGTGTAAACTCAAGTTGAATAACCTTGGATATTCTGATAGCAATCATTTAAGCATGTTTAAAAAATAAAATACTACAAAATCTACTTTAATTTAAACTATTTTTTTTTATTTATTTATACATGATATTTACAACTGTATTAAAAAATTAAATACATTAAGTAAATTTGATAACAGAAAATAAAAACATGAAATGACTTGTTGAGAAACTACCCACTGGTAGCACTCTAAATAATTTAAACTAAAGTACGTTTTGTTTACTAAAGAGTAATTTTCGATTACTTAAGTAATTTTTTTTTCAGTTATCTATTTAACAAAAAAAGCGACACTTTAAAAAATATAAAACATAAATTCCCTACTTTTCTGTCGAAAATCGAACGATTGTTTAAATAAACGTTTATGCACTTGAGGTCTTCTTGCACTCCTATAAACATTTTCCTCTGGTTATGTTTTACATCCTGTATAGAATAGATTGTTTTTCTCTTTAAAGTTTGTTTTTGTTTAACGAAAAAAAAACTGCTTTGTTGTTTCTTACGAGATAGTATATATATATATATATATATATATAGTATATGAGAAGGAATTAGTCGAGGGTGCGGTCAAAAAAATAAAAAAATTAAAATATATAAATAATTTTAATTTTTGCCGACGTTTCGACCCACTTTGCAGGTCGTCTTCAGGGCTACAAAAGATACAAACATGTTGAAAAAATAAAAATAAAATAAAAAATAAATATAAGTATATATAAATTACGAAGAAGTTGTCAGATACAGAAATAAAAGATAAAGAAAATAAATACATGATAAGAAAATAGATAAAAGAAAATAAATACATGAATGTTAACGAATAAATGAATGTTAACGAATAAATTGATTGAAAATTGAATAACTATTGTTACAGTAAAGTTAAAATATGGATAAGATAACATAATAATAAGATATCAGTGGATAACAAGCAAGTGGAGGTTACCTTTAATTGTAAATAAACAGATAACGGGACCAAAGGTTAAGAAGTGAAGAAATTGAAAGATTAATAGGGTAACATTAGTGTAATATTGTTGGGATAGATTATTAAGTATAAATAACTCTATAAGAAAACAATAATTTTAAAAGAATACTTTAAAATGTAAGAATAAATGTAAAAACAAGGTTATGATGATAAAGAAACAAAAAACAGGTTGTACTATATATAGATGACAATTGACATTTAGTTTTTTGAAAGCGGTAATGGAATGGTAGGCTATATGAAGATAATAATAAGGTGTATAGTTGAAGGATAGGTGTGTTAAGAAAGGAATCTCAATAAAAGTCAAAACATACCGTTGGATGTGGCACTGCGGGAGGCGGTTGAAACACTGGCAGTGTCAAAAACTCTAGTTAGCAGTGTCAAAAAAAAGTTCTAGTAAAAATAACCATATATATAATAAATATATATATAATAAATTTATATATATATATATATATATATAATAAATTTTAATAAATATATTTTAATAAATATATATATATAATAAATATAAATATATATATATAATAAATATAAATTTATATATATATATATATATATATATATAATAAATAACAATATATATAATAAATCTACATATATATATATATAAAAGGAGAAGTAAAAGAAAGTATAAATGGAAGTGAGAAGATTAAATAGAGGTTTATGATCGAGACTTTTTTAAAATGTTGATGATTTGGGAATAGGCGAGTGATAGATTTTGCTTGTCGGTTTTTAAGTTTAGTGGTTTGTAGTCTAATTGAATGAAAACACTTTCCGTAAGTAGTCTTTTGTCGTGGTTAGGTACTGTGGCAAGAATGGAGGTATTGTCAAAGTCAAATGTGTGGTTTGAGGTTAAGGCGTGTTCAGAGAGTTTAGAAGCAGTAGAGTTCTTAGAAGTAATTGAGTATTTGTGTTGTTTGATGCGGTCTTTAAGTTGGTTTTTGGTTTCTCCAATATAGGCGGAGTTACAATTGGTGGTAGAGCAAGGAATGCGGTATACGATATTAGAGCGGTGTTGCGGAGCGATGGGGTCTTTTAG